AGAAGCTTGGATCTTAGGAGGAAGGATTTCTGTTCCGGATCCCCAAATCTGGAACCAGTTTCTAAACCAGTTAGGAAATTTTTCCACTATTGGCAATTTCACTTGTGTAAACTAGGTGTGTGAAGTATTACTATTTTGGAGGGAGAAAACCTTGTGCCAGGCATCGATATATTCAGAATATTTGTAGTATTTATTATTAAATTCTAGTGCCTGTAACTTTCTGCTTCTCATGTGATCTAAGGCCCATTCTTTATAGAATATCACTTTTCTTATCTGGAATTTTGAATAAGCAAACTATATTTGTATTTCTTTGGTAAAAATGTACCAAAGTGATAGAACCTGTTTCTAGGAGAATTGCTTCGTACCATTCCTTTGTTTTATTACCATTAGAGGGATTCAAATTATTGATCAGATATAGATTGGCAATGTTTACTGGATCCAAATTCTAGTGTTCATCTTCTATTATAATATCAGTTAAAAAAGTAGTTTCTATAAACAGGGATTTCTCTGATGTTGGAGTTTTTACCGAACTGGGTGAGGAGATAAGCTCTTGAGCTTGTCGTTTTATGAGTTGGTTTGGAGGTTCTGGGTATTTTATTATAGGCTTTCTTGAGGATGGTAATGGAACAATGTCCATTTTTTCTTTTCCCTTATTAATATTAGTATTCATTATTACCCGCCTATCTCTTGGTCCTATCTCTGTCCTCCCTGCAAAATTCACGAGTTAAGAATCAGGTAGGAAGTTAGTGTTTCTTTTTAGATGTTCAATATCAAAATCAAAGGAGGAAAGGATTGCTTGCCATCTGGCAAAAATTTGTTTTGAAAATTTTGTACATCTTTTAACAAGATGTGCTTTGCTGCTTTACAATCAGTCCGTATTAAGAATTTTTGATTAAGAATATCACTTTGAAATTTTGTGACACAATGGACAATGGCTAAGATTTCTTTCTTAACCGTTGAATAATTTTGCTGAGTTTTATTCCATGCTTTGGATGTAAAGCGGATTAGTTGTTTTTTCTCTTGTATTTTTTGTTTTAAAATTCCTCTTAATCCTATTTCGAAGGCATCACACTCAATTATCTTGAAGGCATTAGGATTAGACAGTGTTAGGCAAGGTAATTCCTTAGCCTTATTTTTTATTCTCCTTACTGCCAAAGTATGCTCATCAGTCCATTTGGGTGGATTCTTTTTTAACCTTTCAAATAATGGTTTAGCATCAATGGCTAGATTTTTATAAAAATCCGAAATATAGTTTAGACACCCTAGAAATCTTTGGAGTTCTGTTTTATATAAAATAATGTCAGGAAATTTATTTGCAAAGTCTATTGCTCTATCAATAGGGATAATACTTCTTTGAAAAATATTGTGACCTAGGAATCTAATTTTGGTTTGGCAAAGACTAATTTTCTTAACCGAGACTACCAAGCCCCACGCTTTGATTGCATTTATAAATACATTTATGTGCTTAAAGTGTTGCTCAATGCTTTATGAAAATATCAAGACATCATCTATGTAAACAATCATAAATTTCATATAAGGATTGAAAATATCATTCATTATTTTCTGGAATTCTGAAGGGGCGTTTTTTAGCCCAAATGGCATTATGTTCCATTCATATCGTCCGAAGGGGATATTAAAAGCAGTCTTATACCTATCTTTTTCAGATACCTGTATTTGCCAATAACCTGATTTTAAATCAAATTTAGAGAATATGCAAGCGTTTACAAGTCTATCAAGTAAATCTTTTTTATTAGGTATCGGATATCTAATCCATTTGAGTACCTGATTTAATGGCTTGTAGTTTATTACCAGTCTTGGTGCTCCTCGTTCTTTTTTTGAAGCTTTCTCGACATAAAAAGCTGAATAACTCCACGGGGATGAGCTTTTCCTGATTAACTTTTTCTAGAGTAATTCATCAATTTCCTTTTTACATATTTCAAGAAGCCTTGGATTCATTTGAATAGGCCTAGCTTTAGTTGGTATTTTGTTTTCATTAAAACCTTCCTCATAAGGTAAACTTACTATATGCTTTTTCCTATTCCAAAAGGCGTTTGGTAGATCAGCACAAATTTCTTCTTGTATTTTTCTTCTAATATTTTCAATAATCTTCTTATTCTCTAGAAATGAAAGTTTTTCATTTATTGTTCTGTTCTTTACCTCTTCTTTTAGATGACATAAAAATCTTTCTTTATTTTCTATGATTTGTTTGATGTTATTAACTTCTCTGATTTTTGGCTTGTCTATAAAATCAAATTTTACACTATGACCTTCTAAGTTTGATTCAATTCCTGTGCTATCTATTTTCAAAGAATATAGTAAATTTAGAAAAGGTGTTCCAAGTATAACGGCTTGACTTAATCCTTTCACCATAATAAAGGGCATTTCGAAACAATTACAATTATTACATATTGCAGCATTGGAAAGTTTATATTTGATCATTAACCTACTACCATCTATTGTATTGAGTATCTGAGTTGTTTTACTAAAGTATTCAGTAGGTACTAATCCCTCGTTTATACAATTAAGATCCGCTCCTGAGTCTATTAGTTCAAGGGACTGAAAGCTATATTCTTTATTTACTATTATTCTTATTAAGGTAAACCATTTCTAAGTGATGACTTTATCCAATAGGTTTACAAAATTTTTGTTTTGCATAGAATCATCTTCTTATTTTGAGTTGGATGATTCCGGAGTTTCTTCTATTGGAAACGATGGGTTTTTATGATTATTTATAAGCCTATCAAATTCTTTATTTGTATTGTTATCAAAAAATTCAGCAGCCATTTCTAATGTCTTTATTCTATTCTTAAGATTCTGTACTTCAGTTTTTATTTCATTCATTTCTTGTTTTAGTTCAGAAATGGATGGTTCTTTCTAAGAGGTATCTTTTTTATTAATTCTTTTTAGTATTTCGGCTAGACTATATTCTTCTTGTGTTTTTACAAGAGGGGCTGGTTTCCTTTTTGAGTTAGCTACTTGGATGTATTGGGTTAAGGCTTCCTTTTTTGCTTCTGGGTCACTTATCTTATCTATTAAATCTATGATTAAATTTTCTTCATTTGTGAGAGTATTAAGATTTTTGCAGAAACAATCTTCCATCTGTTCATCAGAATCTAAACTACTTAGTATTAAATTTTCATCACGTATTTCTCCATCTAGAGACTCAAAATCAGAATTTGATGTGTCATTATCAGTTTCTATTTGAAGTATATCATATATTTGATTTATAATCTCCTTTTCAATCTGTAGGGCATTGATTTCTTTTTAATCTTACATTTGTTTTTGTAATGTCCTACTTTCCCGCAATTATAACATACTGGAATTTTTCTTTTTCCCCTTTTGAGATTGGGTTTTGGGACAAACTTTCAAGTAAACTTGTCTTTAATCTTCTTTTGACTAGACTTTTTGTTTTTTCTTTTATAAGATTTATCCGATAAAGGTAAAGTATTATAGCCAAATTGTTCGCAAAAATCTCCCAATTTTTTCTTGCCCGTCATTCTCTGCTTATCGAGTTGCCTTTTTAACTTTAAATCAGTACATAGGGCAAGACCTTCTGCACAAATCTCTACAGATAGTGCTCCTAGAGTATAAAGGGAGTATGGGATTATTCTTCCATTCTTATTCTTCAATCTATTTTTTATTTTTTCGAAAAATAGATAAGGTAAACCTGCTATAAATTTTTCCTTCTAATGATCTGTACTACTGTCTTCTCGGGACAGCAGGCGAGAAAAGAATACGTCTTTATACCATTTGTAGTGAGATAATGTCGAACATCTTAAATTAGATAATAGGTCTTCCGATCTAGCATCTAATAAGGAAGTACTTCCTACAAAATGTAAGGTTATTGTATAGATGAGTGTATTAACTGTATCGCTTTCACTATGAGGTATCTCTTGATTGTATTCATTTTTTACAATCCATTGTATTGTAGCGTTTAATATCTGTTGTTTAGTAGTTTCACTCATGTGAAAATGCCACTATCCTCTTAACCATCATAAGCCTTGTATACGGGTATATTAATGTTACTATTTGTTCTTGTTAGCCCTTGTATTAAGGGCTTATCCTGTATTGATGAAGAAGAATGTCTGAAAGGTGCAGGCATTCTTTTTGGAGGTCTTATCATATCTTCAGAAAAATTCAATCTTGCCCTTCGGCTAGAACTGAATTGGATGTCAATATTCCCATCTGGATATTGAATTATTTGATTCGGCTCATTATTAATAGGGCTTCTATACTGTTGGTTCTCATTATGATCAGACCAGTTTTCTGGGAGTATTACTTGATATCAATTTATTGATTTAGGGATGACAGTGTTGATGTTTCTATATTTGTTTGAAAAAATACTGTCTGTCCTTTGGTATCCATTTGTAAGACATTTGGACTTAATGTGTTCATGACTTTATAACATATTCTGTAGATTAGAGCAATATTTTGGGAACCAGGACTTATATCGAACCCTTGTGTTTTTCGATTTAGAGTGAGGACTTTAAGAAGATTGGGGTCCATTAACGAGACCGAGTAATTGGGAAAACAATTAAAATAAACAGGACCACTACATAAGCTAGACTCTACTACTCCTAATAGCGAGTCAAAAAACTTATTATGCCTACTATCTCTAAGGCATAGTAATATAGAGTTATTTAGTCCTAATCTAGTTAGGGGTTTAACAGCTATCTGTATAAGACCTATATGTAGGTATTTATATTCCTTATTTTTATGAGTTTGAATCATTTTATTTGATAATAGCTAAAAGCTTTCCAGTTCACTATTGACTGATATACTTTGTTCAACTGTTTTTATCGCATAACTGGTTTTAAATTCAAAAGTACCCTTTTTATAGATATTTGTAATAGGAACTTTTGGAATATTCTAGTTATGAATTTGCTTGTCAATGTTTTCAATTATTATTTCCTCTTTATTTTTTATCTTAAGTGTACTGGATAATGATGATAATGTCCTATTGGATAGTGTCTTGATAAAATTTCCATATCGGGTAACAGATGAGTGCACGGGTCAATAGATTTATGTCACAGTGCCTTCCAGCGGCTCTCCTGGCCTAATTCGACGATGGACTACTACGACCTTGGTCTCAACTCTCGGGGTTACCTCTAAATGGTAACTTTTATTAAGTTGTTAATATATATATATATATATATATATATAGTAAGTAA